ATAATTTGGAATTTTAGAATATTCAAATATATTTGATATTAGATTTATTTGCAATTTCCTAATGCTCAAATAAATTTGCCGTTATATTTATTTACATTTTCTATGTAAAGTGGTTTTTCTTTTAATATACAAATACTTTTTATATTATATTTGTATTATTTTCAAACAACTTTTGATTGCTTTTATTCCTGAATATTATTATTACTTAGTATGTAATATTAATATTATTTAATATGTTAAATTTATACCATATAAATATACATTTTATAAATTTAGTTTTTCCATTTTTTCTCACGCTCCAAAAAGCTTTCCATATTTATTTTTTGGCAATTCTTTGTTAATATATGCCATGCCATAGTATTTGATTGGCCGTTGCGTGCAAATGTTATAATATTTAATTAAATATTTGTATATATGAATATATATCAATTTGTAAACCACATCTTCCGTTCCTGTCCGATTGTTCGCTTAACCTCCGGCTGATTTATGGCCTATGCGGTTGCTCCGCCGCTTTCATCGCATGTGGGCAAATTTGTGGCCAGTGGCTATTTGGTCACTTTGCAGTGACTTTGATTTTGGCACTTGGCTTAGTTTTATGGCATTTTACGAGCACATACATATATATTGATATATATATATGTATAGATTTATATTTGTGCTGAGGCCAGTTATGAAAATGATTTATGCTTGTAATTTGATAGAGCGCCGCGGACAAGTTTTGTGGGTCCGAATGCGCTATACGATACGCAGTCAATGCCAAATGCTGATGTCAAGTGTCAGATTACATTTATTTCGATATTTATTACAGAATTAATGGGCAGGCGCAGCCGGCAATTAATTTAATTAGTCGCACACACACACACTCACATAGACACATTTGATTTCTGCGTGTCGCATAAGCAAATTTGAAATACTTTAAATGCTATGCTAATTCAAATCAAATGCATTCCTTAAATTTGGCAAGAAAAAAAATAAATAAAGCAGCAATTACCTTGAGTCTTAAATCAACTACAATGCGAATGTCGATGTCGATGTCAAAGGATTTGCTAAAGAACTCGGCTCAACTGAAACCAGATCAGCAGCCTCCGTTGCCAGTTGGCCAAATGTCAAATGCTTAAGCTTTAGCCAAAGCTACAGCTACAGCTACAGCGCGGCTTTTTCATGGTCAGCCTGAGCGCAGGCAAACAGCACGGCACACACGGCGTATGAGTGACGTGCATGTTGAGGCGTCACATTTGCTGACCAACTGCATAAATCAAAAAGCCCCGCTGCCGCATATCCCACGCAGCCAACAGCCAACTTTGCTCTTGTCCCTCTCTCCCCCTCCCTCTCTCTCTCTCCCTCTCTCTGCATCTCTTAATCTCTTAGTCTGGGTCTCTATCCATTGTCGCCGTCTCCTTCTTTAGCTGCTGGCGCATTTAATTAATATACAGCTGCCTGACCACACGGCTTTGGCTTTGGCTTTGACTGGCTTTGACCAGCAGCAAAACAGAATAACAGACCAGCACAAATGATTTTTCTTTATTTTTTTATTTTTTTCTTTATAAAAAATTGCTTTACATTTAGTGGATTTATTTTTTTGGTATGCTTGGAATGCGAGCAACAACAAAAAATTGATTTGTTTGTTAATTGAAAGCTGCAAGGCAAAGTATAATAATATAACCTCTCTTCTCTGCTCTTGCAGCATCACAAGCATGAGATTGGTGAAGTCTTCCAAGATGAGCAGAACATGGCAGCGATCTTAATGCGCCGCCATATGGAAACTGGCGATTTGATAATGGTAAGTGAACCACACATACACACATACATACACGCACACATATATACATATATCTCAGAAGGTCAACAGAAAATCTTTGACTATGCCACAAGAATTTCAATTAGCCCGCCCCTTTGGTGGTGTCTTTTGTTAGCTGTTATGACAGACTGCGGCTATTGTTATGGCCAAGCTTGGCTTTTGGCTGCTGTGGGCCGCACTTGGGGCAGTTACAATTAAACGCCTGCCACTTGCCGATAATTTGCGGATTTAGACAATTTCTGCTGATTAAGCATTAATTTATATATATCTCGCAGTATCGCGCCACGCTTGGCCAGCAAATGGCAGCCGTAATGTGAATTGCATGTCGATCGGCATTAGACATTGTCAAGTGGCCAGCTGCAACAACAACAGCAATAGCAACAGCAGCAGCAATAGTAACAACCATAACAAAAAGAAACACTCACGAATTGTCGTCACAACCAAATCAAGCACCTTGACCAATTTGCTAAAGTGAAAACTTAGATGGCGCATAGGCGATATGCTGCAAATGTGTCTTATAATTGTCTGTAAATGCTAGAGATATATTTCGAAAATAGATTTTAGAAATAAATATAAACGTCAATTCGCCTAGGAATTGTGACAAGAATTTGTATAGCATATGCCATGCTCATATCGAAGCTGGCAGCTGGAAAGATTGACAAATAGATAGAGAGATAGAACTGTCTCACATATATGTCATGCTAGATAGAACTATCAGCTTCTCATATTAGCATGGTATCTAGAAATTCTTGCAAACATTTGAAAGCTGCAGCGTATCACAGTTACGAAACTCTACACTTGTCGTATAACAGTTGCCCCATTACTCATTCTTGTCAGCCAGTAGTAAAGATCGCCCACACTCAGATGCTAAATGCCGCGCCCACTGACTGCTCATTAGCAACAGTAGCTGAGAAGCTGTGTGAATCTTATCTAGCAAGCAAAATCGTTGCTTTGAAACTGTCTGATTAAAATAGTCGCTATATCTGTCATCTATAGTAGTTCGATTAGTATTAGAATCTTTTTTGTCCATCGAAAATGAGAAAAATAGAAGATTATTTAAATAATAGAAAGATAAATAAAATGTAAATCTTTTACATTCCAAATTTTCAACGTATGATATGACTTTTTAAAATGTCAATGAATATAGCTAAAGAAAAATCAACAAAGAAAGAATATTTAAACAGCCGAAAAATGATTTAAAATTTGATTCAAAAAATATTTATTAAATTTTTAAAATTAGAAAATTTGTTTGCCAGTG